GAGAGGGAGAAGCCTCCACGACGACACTGCGCCGTCGCTGGCTGGGAGCACTCAAACCCTCAACAGCCCTGCAGAAAAAGGCAGACAAATTCCCGTTTTGTACTTGGGAAGCAGCCAGGTGATGTCATCATCTTCTAGGAGGATGGCGGAATACTTTCCATTCCAGCAGTAACTCAAGATGTCGAATAGCAGCTCCTAAAGCTAAACACCGTTAAATCAGCGTGTCAGGGCAGCGTCTACCTAAGGATTTTTAGAAAGCCGGCTGACAAACCGGGGGGGCCGTTAACGTTCACTTTCCACATGCCGTCGAACAGGGGGATGTTCCAAAGATGTAGGAAAAAGCTATTTGTTAAACGAGGCACTCTTGCCTATTTTAGGATTCCCACTCCAGCCTCTGCACCAGGCAAATAAAGACGTGCCAGCTACAGGACTGGGTCAGTAAGGAATTAAAGGGAGGTAGCCGCAGCCGTGAAAACCTATGTACATTTATGGAAAACAGATTAAGGCAAATTAGCCTCGTATGGGGTTTTGCTGTTTTTGATGCAATTACAAGTTTGGTTGGGAGAGGTAACAGCATTAATGCAATGCATCCAGACTTCTGTAGAGCATTTCCCCAAGTAACACATGATATTTTATTCCGAAATTAGAGGGTCTGCAGACACCGGGGGACATATTCAATGCATTAAAACTTGGCGAGCCTGCATGGCTTTGCTCTGCGAGCTAAGCAGAGAGTTTGCAGTGAGCAGGTCTGTTTCTACTAGAGCGAACAGATTTGGGTCGTGACTCTGGGCTATTAAACATTTTTATCAATGACCTGGAGAAAGCCCAAAGCACCGTGAATAAAGTTAGCTGATGACATGGAAGTTGCAGCGTGGTAAATGCCGAAGAAGGCGGGTCGCTAAATGCTGAAGATGGGTTGCTCATACCCAAGCACCTGGATGCTGGGCACAAGTAATACATATTTCAGTACAAATATGTGTCAAATTACACCCCCGGGGAACAGCGTAGAGGCCACATGGGTGGCCTCCATGCCAAAAGGATGTAGGTCATGGCAGATGAGCAACTGAGCAAAAGCAACCCATGAAAAGCCATGGCCCAAACAGCTAAACCAAGTGCGGGATGTAGAAGCAAGGACATCTCAAGGAGGGAAGCAACAACCACTCTGACTGCTGCAATAACCATGGTTGCATCTATGGGACCGGACTCCACCACTAGAAAGACCAAACAGCTGCCAAGGGTGGGGAAGAGCAAATGAGGTTGGCCCAACAGCTCACCAAAGAGAGAGCCAGAAACTCATAGATTCCTCTTAAATAGCTGCACGGAAATCAGGAATGTGATGAGGAAGGGCTTACTAGACAAAGTCTGCTAAGGTCCAAATGTCCGGCGCAGTGCATGGGAAGCCTTATGCTTTTCGCAGAGGATGAGAAACCACTGGAAGAATTTAGCAGATAATTCTCCATCTCTGGAAACATTTACATCAGAATTGGCTCTATCTGCTCTAGTTCAACCAGGAATGTTTTCTATAAGAGTTTAATTACCCCTAGGGCCTTATAATTTATTGGCTGGGTCCAGCACTATCAGTGGAGGCCCAGAACCAAAACGGGCATGGAGCCATAAATAGCCTCTTATCTTCAAAACATCACGTACATAGGGAACACGATTACAAGGCAGCGAGGACACAGCCTTCCCCGGCGCCCCAGAAAGATGCACGCGTTCCCCCGCGCGCAGCCGCTCCGTATCCCGTCTCCCTAACGCAAGCACAACACACCTAGAACCGATTCCTGTTTTTTTTTCACTCGCCTTGGATATAGAGGAAAAGCTCCGAGTCCAGGATTTGCATTTGTCTACACATCGCTACCGCCGTGCGTCCTCTCCATGCCCACAGCACATCCCTACCCAAAGCAAAGCTGGGTTTGTGCAACCACATCCCCTGCCAGGGCTTCCCCATGTACTAGTGAGCTATGGCCATGACCCCAAAGGACACGCTCCTCACTGAAGAGCTGGACTTGGGCTGAGTCAGTGTTAGCGTTGAGTTGGGCTGGGTATTTTGTTAGGTCAGTGGTGGAGCTGGGCCAGGTCAGTGTTGGCGATGGGTCAGTTTTGGAGCTGGGCAGGGTTGCTGGCTGAGCTGGATGGGGCCAGTAGGGGGCTGGATGGGTGCTGATGTTGGAGCTAATGTTGGAGCTGGCTCGGCACCTCCATGCTCTCCCTCATGGCTCTCTCCCCAGGAGCAGTAAAGAACATGAATGAAGTGACAAAGGCTCCCTTCCTTCCTCCCCACTCCTCCAGCAACTCCCTGTCGAGCCCCCAGGTCCCCTACAATGGCCTTGAACTGCAGAAGATGATGAGTGGCCAACAAGACCTTCTAGAGACTACCTTGGCCTCCTCCTCTTCCCGGCATCCCACAATGTCCCCTGTGCAGCTCCACTGCTCCTCCAAAGGAAGCTGTGGTCAGAAGGGACTGTCATCCCATTTCCTCCCCACTCCTCCAGCAACTCCCTGTCGAGCCCCCAGGTCCCCTACAATGGCCTTGAACTGCAGAAGATGATGAGTGGCCAACAAGACCTTCTAGAGACTACCTTGGCCTCCTCCTCTTCCCAGAACCCCACAATGTCCCCCGTGCAGCTCCGCTGCTCCTCCAAAGGAAGCCGTGGTCAGAAAGGACTGTCATCCCACAGACTACCTTGGCCTCCTCCTCTTCCCAGAACCCCACAATGTCCCCCGTGCAGCTCCGCTGCTCCTCCAAAGGAAGCCGTGGTCAGAAAGGACTGTCATCCCACCCCTCATCATCACAGCACGGCCAGGACTCCCCGTGCTCCGTCCTACGCAGACGCAACAGAGAAAATGATGCACGTCCTGGATGCGGGTGCTGCGACTATGGCCACGCTGGGCGGCCACACGTCCCCAGAAGCTGGGGGGGTGGGGGGAATGGGACCAGGGCTGGACACGCAGTGTCACCGCTCTCTCCAAGCAGGCAGGGACCATCGGGGTTTGGAGCGCGACGGCTCTGCCTCCTCCGCCGTGGAGCAGAGCCAACGGCTACGAGCGGCGGGGAGAGGAACGTGCGCGGAGCCGGCATGGGAGGGCCGGGGGAGAGGGAGGAGGCAGCCCAGACAAAGAGCATGGAGACGCAGGGAAAAAAAGAGAGAGCAGGAGAAGGTGAAGTTGGAAGATCGGGAAGGGAAGCGGCACAGGGAGGAGGGACCCTCGGGAAGAAGCGAGCAGAAGGAAGCGAGCCCGAAGCGAGCCCTAGTGCAGCATCAACCTCTTAGCCACGCTGGGTCGCCAAGGGCTCTCCAAGCCTTCCGTGCTGGGGCTGCAAGCTTAGGAGAGCTTAAGCTGTTAGACGCATGAATTTCCTCCATAAAACATCCCTCTCATGCGCCTGCCTCGAGCCTGCTTGCAATGTTATTAGCCACAGGAGAGGCTTGGCAGAGAAAATGAGCAGCAATTCCCAGCACTTTGCATCACTGGGGATGCCCGTCACTAGGGATGCCCTTTTTCCACCCAAAGGTGGGAGCGGGGCAGCACGGGTCCCCCCATGCCACGTCCCCCGCAGGCCCCTGAGACTCGGGAGAGCATTTTGCGCCGACAGCCAGCCCGGATTTGCTTTTGTTTGGCTTCTGGAAAGGGGCCCAGATTTCCTCCTGCCCTTGGCAACGCCACAAAACCTGCGAGCCACATGCAGCAGCTCGCACGCCGCGTCTGCCGGCAACGGCCCGGGGCGCACACCCGGCGGCGGCAGCACGAGGATGGAGGGACCCTCTGGGATGCGCAGGAAGGATGGAGGCTCTGAGACCCTCCCCGCCCGTTCTCTCCTTTCCGTCTGCTGGAGGAAAGTGGAGGATGCTCCGTGGTCTGGCCCGGTCCCCTGCAGGCCACCATGTGATGAACGATGGTGGGGAGCACCAAGCCCCTACGCATGTGTGAGTAGCTCCTACAGCTGCCGAGCACCAGACCTCCCCAAATCCCGCTTGCCTGCTCCGTCTCCCTCCCCTTTCCCTGCTCCCGTTGCTTTCCCTGCTGGCCCCAGTGACACAGGGGCTCTGTGAGGAGGTCCTGGGTGGCACAGAGCATGCAAGGTCCCACTGGGACTGTCCCTTGGCTGGACTGGCGGGAGGACCAGCATTAAATAAATCATTTTTGGTTTCCTTATATTGTGGCAAATGCTTTGCTTGGGCACTGGAAAGTGTCCAGCTTTAATGCCGCGGTCATCTTGATCTCCTCTTCGCTTTGGGTTGCAGCAGAACTTTTGCCCCAGATCGTCTAACCAGGAGGAAGGACACTAGGGCAGAGAGACCTGGTGGGTCTCCCTCTGCATCCTTGGCTTTCCCATTTGGAAGGGAACTAACCTTCCACCCTCTGCCTTCTGAAAAGTCCATGTTCCCACCGCCTAGAGCAGCGCTCCTGATGCTGTTTGCTACGCTTATGAGCAGGGTCAAAGAAAGGATAGAAAATGATGACCCTGCACATCAGGAATTGCCAGTCACCAGCAAGACACTTTCAGTGGTCTCCAGTCAGAGGACCCCAAGGTAGGAAAGAGCCTCTGTGATGAGAGAACAGGCCTGGCCATCACCTCCCGAGGCAAGCAAGGGGTGCAGAGGAAGGTCGTGGAGGAAGGGAGCATCCGTGCACGCACCGGAGCTGCTCATCCCACCCTCTCCCAGCGCTCTGTCCGGAACTGCTCTCCCTCCTGCTCCATCCCTGCCTCGGCAGGTCACTCCTAGCTCCATCATGCGGGTTACAGCAGCAAACACTAATGAGCCACATGGAGCGGCGCCCACGTTGCCCAGGCCCTGCTCCAACTCGCCTCCCGTGCCAGGAAGCAGGGCCACAGCCTCTTCCTCCCAACGCCGGCACAACTCTGGTGACAGGCCATCCTGTCACTCCAGGTACAGGACACAGCACCATCCACACACCCAGACCTCCTTGACACGCTCTCCATCTGCCATAGCAAGGAGATGAGCCCACCATGCAGAAGAAGAAAGACAAGGAGTTACCTCTGCAGACGGTCCCGTTCTCCACCGACTCGTAGCCTGCCCTGCACATGCAGCGTCCAATGGGCACCAGCCACTCGCCATCCCCGTTGCAGTAGAGTTTGATGGGCACGTCCACCTCCTCAGCGTTGGCGATGCACGTGCCCCGGGCTGCCACCAGTGAGGTGCTCTCCGCTCCAGAGAGGGTCTCTTGGAAAACAGCCCCATTCTGGATGACGCGGGGACACTTGCGGTAGAAGACACGCACTGCGATCAAGGACATGCAGCCTCCATAGTCCTGGAAGGCCAGGTAGAAACCGTTCTTGGAAACGGGCCCAAAGCTGCGCACCTCGGTGTTAATCTTCATCACCCGTCCGCCTAGGTCCACCTGCGAGAAGCTCTCATCGGCAGCAATAGTGTCTACCTTCATCCAAGGGTTCTCCATCCAGTTGGGAAAAGTCTTGGTGGCCGAGTCAAAGTCTGACTCATAGTAGTAGAGATTAAAGGTCTCCTTACACGAGCCCGGCACGTTAGGGATACTGCTGCAGTCCCGAACAGAAAATTTCATCTCCACGTGGATGCGGTGGGCACCTCGCCTCCGGATGTACTTGGTCCGGAGCCAGTTGTTTTGGCTGGATTCAAAGACGTTGCACACCTGGTAGGTGCGAATCGTGTTCATGTTCTCGTCGTACCCACTCACTTCTTCCCACTGCGGAGGGGAAACACAAAGGCATCGGGCAGCATTGCATCGACATTCCCAGGATGACGCATCCCCATCCGCTCCGCTGCCTCCCAACCCTGTTGCACGTCAAGCGGACAAGTTGCACCAGCACAAATTGTGCCATACTAGGTCCACCCTGGCACGTAGCATGGGTTCAGCACCACTGGTACCCAACACCTTGCCCAGCAGTGACATCGAGCACCCCTCCAAATGTCCATACACGCATGGATCCATCCTGATCCTGCAAGGTTTGACCCAAAGTGCATGCCAGCCCAGTATGACCAGTGCCACCCGGGTCCTGAGTAGACCTCAGGGTGGTCTGTCCGTCAACATTTTTCTACCTAGCCCCATCCTCGCTGCCCAAAAGGGTGGTAAAACTTGTGACACCGGTGGAACGGGGCATTCATTTCATCTGCAGGCACTAATGTCTTTAGCAGGGGCTCTCTGCTCCGCTGCCGAGGCCTCTTAACCGCAGAGCCTCGGAGCAACACGATGCCTTTAGCAGATGTATTCCCGCCGGTGCCACTTCCAGGGCAGCGCCTTGCAGCAAGGGAGCCAGCGGGAGCCGGGTGCTGCAAAGGGGAGCGCTTCTCCTGGCCCTTCCTTTTCCCAAATTCCCCACCCGCACTAGCCCAGCGAGTCTCTTACCTTTGCCAGGAGCTATTTCATCCCCTGCGGTACCCTGACCACCGCATCCCAGTATTTCAGGGTCTTTAAAGGCAGCGTTGCTGGCACAAGCACATGCAGACCCCCATGACTAGTCAAGAGTGGCCCTTCCTCAACGTCAGGATTTTGGGAGTCTGCTCATTCCCGCTGAACATCCAGATGAGCTTTCTGGAGGTGCCCCAGAACCAGCAGTGGCTGGACAAGCAGGGCAGAGGCTTGACGCCCTTGTGACACCGATGGGCAACACATCCTGCTCTGCACGTACGGAAGGGTTTTGGGGCTGCTTAGCACGAGACACCATCCCAGCCAGCTGGAACTGCTTTTCTTTTCCTTCTTTTTCTCTTTTTTTTTGTCATTTTTATGAACTTGTTCACAATCCTTCTCAAGCAGAAGCCAAGCAAGAGCCACTGCTCCTGGTGTTGGGGGCTAGCGTCGATTCCAGGACTTTTAGGAAAAATCTGATAGAAGTGGATCCTTGGCCTCCGCCCCGGCTCGCAGGGAGCCCCGGGAGGGCCCGGGATGAAGGCACAGATTGCTCTTTGCACATCAAGGCAGCCAGAGAAGATCCCCAAACAGCTCCTGATGCCGAGGGAGGACCAGAGCATCCTTTGAAAATGCAGCAGGAGCTAAACAGGGGGTAGCTTTATTCTACACAGGGAAATCTGTCACGCTGGGGGGAAATTACAGAAGCATCTCCGCGGGTTTTTTTGGGGGGATGGAATAATTGAGGACAAAACATGGGCAAACAGCTGGTCTCTCTGTCCTGCCACCAGCGTGGCTTTTTCTTGCCATCTTCATCCATCTCCTGGTGGATGGCAGTCAGTGCCCAGCACCCGCCCCAGCCCCCATCCTGATGGGAAGGACTCAAGACATGAGTCTGCCGTGCTCAGCACCGGCCGGGCAGGAGGGGCACGAGGTGCACAGACGGGTCCCTAGCACGATGCAGGGCACGGGCACAGGGGACGTGACATCCCCCATCCCGCACATTGGGAAGATGCTCTCCCAGGGATGCTCTTGCTGGCCAAGCTCCTTCCCACTCACTTGGGATGCCCGATCCCAGAGAGGGACGAGCAGCCAGGGACCTCCTGCAGCAGCATCCGGGGGTTTTGCCGGGCGGCTTCCGAGCCGCTGGCACCGCCGGCTGAGCTAATCCCTTGAATGCCCCACTCCAAAGCTCCCTTTTCTCTGCTGGGAGAGAAAGTCACCGCCGTGCCGCAGCCCCTGCGCGTCCTCGGCGCTTAATTAGGAGCCTCTCCCTTTCTCCTCGCTCTCTAATTAACATGCCGGGGCCTCAAAAGAAGGCAGCAGCACAATAATATGGAGAGACGGCTTCCAGCAGGCCCCGGCCTCATTACGGCGGGGCTGGGGGAGCCCGGAGCAAGGCCGGCTTTACATATGGAAAAACCCGCAAACAAGCGAGGCTGGGCGAGGAGAGAAGAAAGACTTGACCTCTGCTCCCGCCTATTGTGCGCCCGTCATTCCCCTTGGGCAGGACGGTCCCCACGCCCATGCGCAGAAGCGAGCGTGGAGCCTTTCTCATGATGATGATGATGGTGGTGGCAGGGGGACGGCCGCTCGCTCGGATCACCTCTCCGGTGGGGTCTGCTCCCTGGGATGGAGCTGGTTTTCTGCCGAGCTGCTGCGCTCCAAAGGGCTCCGGAGCATGGAGATGTCCCAGTCAAGTGGCCGCTGCCTTTGCAGCCTTGAAGGCCACCGCTCTGAGTCTTCTCCACAACAGGGGACGGGCCATGGGCTAAGTGACAGGATGGGGGCAGACAGAGAAACATGTTCCCCTGACACTGTTAGGTGAGAATTTTGGATGCATCACCTAGAAAAACTACTGGAAACCTCCCTCATATATTTTTGTGTGTTCTTCCCACCAACCCTTTTGACATGGACAAAGCTTCTTGGATGAATTCTGTTGGGCAACAAACAGGTTCACTTGCTCAGAGACCCCCCTGGCCACTGACTCAGCCCCCACAAAGTTAACTCATCCTGGAGTTAGGATAATTCACATAAGGATAACTCACCCCGGAGGGAGGATGCACCGTCCAGCCCAGCTCCGCTGTCGCCGTCGTGGAGTCCATCAAGGTCTCTGCAAGAAGAAAGTGAAACAAGGAGTCAAGGTGGCAACAGCTACTATGTTCAGGTGTCCCCCAACTAATGCCACCTGGTCTTGTTGAAGACACATGTGACAGCCACTTCCATGGACGGCCAAGACACGGGGGCCCAGACACGGCAGGGAGATGCCTTTGCCTCTACATATAAATAACCTGACACCGCCGAGTCAAGATCTTCCCAAAACATCACCCTCAAAACGCAGAAGATGGAGCTGTCAGAGTAATTCTGTTTTCCACCATAAAACCAAGCTCCAGGTCTGGATGGGAGTCCTGTGCACTGATGCAGCACTGTGATTTTCTGCACCTTGCCCACGATTGCTGCTTTGATAAAACCGGACAAAACCAAACTGCGTATTCCAAAGGTTTAGAAAATGGGGGTTAGAAAGTCTAGGGCAAAAGCTCCACACCGCGCTGGATTCAGTAGCCATGAGCGAGATGATGCTTGCAGCAGATACGATAACCCCGTGCTCAATGGGAACCAGCACTGGATTTGGAGGGCCTACATTTCGGAGGCCGACCGCATCTGCAGAGATGATGGAAAGAATCCAACGCATCCGCTGCTGTGCTCAGAGCCTGGGGCAGCAAGATCACCACGTCATGGGAGGTGGCACACAAGAGGGAAAGCCAGTGCTCAGTAGCTTGGCCAAAGCCCTAAATGCCACCCTGACCTTTGCTGCTTCTGCTCGAGTTGTGCTGATAAAAATCCCTGTTTCTGCAGGACGTAGCAGGGCTTCTTTCATCCCTGGCAGACACAAAATGCACCAGCAGCATCTCGTCTCACCTCTGATCTTTGCAGAGAGGGAAGAGAGCAGGGATGCACAGGGAAGGCAGGGAATTATAAGTAGGTGCAGCTACCGGAGGGATTCTGCCCTTGGGCCACCATCCCTCCTACAGCTACATGGCTCTACCTGGGTAATGGCTCTTGCAGGAAGACAAAGTCATCATCAGAACCAGGGTAGCTGGACGCAGAAAGGCTGATGGGTCCTAGTGATATCACCCATGATTAGGTCCCTCACTGCAAGCTCAACCAGGAGAACTTCTAAGGAGTCCAGATCTTCAGCCACTGCACCATGGACCCACCAAGCAGGTCAAAGCAGGGATGGAGGGGAAATGGCCATGGCTGGAAGGATGCCACGTCCTACTGCTGCTCCTCACCACACCAACCACCAAGCATCCTGCCACGAATCCCAGCAAGCATCTCAACCTCCTCCACTTTCACCATCAAAGCCAAGCAGGAACGGAGCTACGTGAGCAAATCCCTCACTGTGGGAGCCAAGGCCGCCCGTCCGGACAGAGAAACGGTTGTTGTTCAACCTGTGGAGGAGCACGCGAGGCACGTGAGCTCCATTTTCCCATCCGCGAGCCAAAAAATGCCTCTCCATAGATATGCTCCACGCACCTACTCCTGGCAGTAAATCATTTTCAGGCCGGCGGTTGCTCATTGCTCCCGGTTAGAGCCAGAGGTTTCCAGTTCACAGGAAACCAGCGTTTCAAAATTTGGGTTTCTTCCAGAAATAAAAAGCAAAAATAGTTCTTTTCAATTTTTCCCCACTAAGGAGAGTTCTGGAAAACAGTTAGTCCAGAAGTATTTCAGATTTATGAAATTTCTTAATAAACTGGATATTTGCTTCCCCAGCTCAATAATAGTGTTTATTGTCTCAGCTTCTGCCTTTTTCATTAAAACCCCGGAGACACTTTGATCTAAAAGGAAAATAAGATTTTTCACACATTTCAGGCTGGAAGCTGCATTTAATTGCTTTTAAAATTCCTTGAAATTGTTACTTTATCTTAACTTCCAGTGACAGTGGGGTGTAGGGAGTATATTAATAGCAATGACCGTAACGTCAAAGAAGAAATACTCTCGAATGATGCAAATACTTCTTCCAATAAAAATAATATCTGAAACTTTCTGAATGTTCAGCCTTCACTGATTGCAGAAGGTTTGGGTTGAGTTTCCGTGGTGGTGGTGGCTTTGCTCCACCATCAGATGACACTAGGATGCCTCACCCTCTAATATATCTTGCTCACATGCTTGGCCAAGAGCATCTCACCCCCTTTGCCTGTACTCGGAGACACCCAGGAAAGCTCCCCAAGTAGCAAATTTCTATAAAAAATAAGCATATCAATTCATACCTTTCTTCAGAAAGCAAAATCGGGAGTGATGCCCCCTGAATCAACATGTCCCATGGCTGCAGGTGCTCCTGTTTGCATCTTCCATAGCTTCAGATCTGCTCTGCTTTGCTCGCACGTTAATCCCACCATTGGAAAACAAGACGCCGCTTTTAAATAAGGAAAATAATCACCCACATTTCTTGGGTAGAGCTCCTAGCAGGATGGCTGGGAGATAGATGAGATATGAGTTCCTTGCTACTGAGCCACAAGTGAAATGAGTTTGCGGGAGGTCTCAGCTGTAGCCACTTGTCCTTGGTGGCAAGTTTGGGACCCCAGCAGGTACCTGCAGAGATCCAGGACCTGAACGTGGGATACCCAGGATGAGGCATGGAGAGGGACAGAGGGGACAAATATGAAGGGATCGGAGGAGCAGAAGGTCTGGGCGCTGTGCTGGCACTTCCCAGTACTTGGGATCCAGCAGGGTATTTGGGATGCTGCGCTCAGGGACACACTTCAGCTCCCAGGTGGAGAGAGATTGACGGGGAGTGAGGAGGCAGTGACACACTGAGGATGGGAACCACTTCCATCCTGCTGTCCCCACCAAAAAGCCACCTCACCCACATGGTCCCAGGGCTCTGTGGTAGACAGGGACTCAACCTTGTTCTTTCAACACTTTTCCCTGCCAAATTAGGTCCAGGCGGCCTGAGAGCAGAGGGAACAGGTGATGTTCAGCACTGGCATCATCTAGGAGCCGGCCCCAAAGCAGCCATGGGATCCTGGTGACGGGAGCGTTGGGCAACAGGGCATCAAGTGCCTTGCTTGGGTGCTAGACCTTCACACTGGAGATGTTTGGATACGGGGTCCAGGCATCGCCCCCGGAGGAGGAAAGCCTTGGAGAGGAGGCAGCTCTGCGGGTTCAGCCCCGCTGGCGCTGGGATCAGCGGCAGAAATTCCAGTCCTAATGGAGCAATCGGAGCTGCAAGCTCAGGAATCCGACGCTGCGGCCGCCTCCTTCCCGGCCGCACGTCACTGCCCGCCCCGCGGAGCGCTCCTGCAGGCCCCGCTCTCCCGGCACCGTCGTTCCCGAGCGCAGCGGCACGGGATGGAAGCAACGTGCTCCCAGCAGGCTCCAGTCGGCATCCCGATGGAGCTAGCCTTAACGGGCTCCCATTTTAATTTGTTTTTATTGGAAAATGCAGATGGTGATCCCCCCCCTCCCCCAGAACATACATGGGGTAATAAAGTTTACAGAGGAACGAGATGATCTGCAAATGCAGCCTGAGCGGCAGAAAAGCCCCACGGTTCTTGCACCAGCACAAGGGCAAGCAGAGCTGGACCGTGGCACTCGAAGAGCCTTGAGGACCAAGCTGAGCCCATCCCCGAGGTATCTGGGCGCTCACAGTGCAGGGTTAACCCAGCTGCCTTCTTTCGTGGCGGTGCAAAGCACTACGATCTTGCCAAGCGCCACGACCACGCACAGCCCCACGACCCTGCAAACCCAGCGCCCACGGACGCTCCCGTTCCCTGGGCACCACCGTCCCGCCTGCAAAAACGGGACACGTTTCCGCCGGAGAAGCCAAACGCGGGCGGCCGCAGCCGGGCCGATAGATCCACCCCCCCACAAATCCCGCAGCGTCTGCGTTTGGCTCTGCCTGCCTACCTGACAGCCAAGTCTTCCTGCTTTTCCCTGTTTTTACTGACGGGCTGTAAATTTGCTTCTGGTTGGCAGCTCCGAGTGGGAACGAGTTCAGAGGAGCTGCCAAGCCGGAGCCCTGCGGCCGCCCGGCCCCGTCCTGGCCTCCGGACTTGCCTTGGAGCTCACGGGAAGGAGCGAAAGCAACGGTGGAGACGGCAGCTGTCGGGGAAGGGTATTTTTAGCGAGCTGCAAATGTTTCCTCCCTTGGGAAATCTCCACCTCCGAGGTTTCGCTGCGGAGGGGGCTTCCTCTTTCATGCACGGGGAATTCACTGCACTGCGGCCGCCCGGCCCCGTCCTGGCCTCCGGACTTGCCTTGGAGCTCACGGGAAGGAGCGAAAGCAACGGTGGAGACGGCAGCTGTCGGGGAAGGGTATTTTTAGCGAGCTGCAAATGTTTCCTCCCTTGGGAAATCTCCACCTCCGAGGTTTCGCTGCGGAGGGGGCTTCCTCTTTCATGCACGGGGAATTCACTGCACGCTGATGCAGCAGGTTGAACCCAGGCGCTCGCTCGCATCGCTGGCCTGGCAGAGCTGCAGGGAGCAGCGGGAAACATGGGATATGGATCCCTGCCGCTCTGTGGGGACCAGCCCAGGTCTCGCGTACGCGAGGGGGTTAACCAGGGCTGCAGGTGCTCATCAGGCACGAGCTCAGTGCCACCAAGACCCAAGGCCATGCAGTGACCCCATGTCAAGCACGCCGATGGGATGTACCAGCACAAGGAGGCACCTCGAGCTGTTTGGCTTCTCCAGCTGGACCGGCACAGGTCCGGTCCAAGGCAGTGAAGGAGGAAGCTGGAGCGCATTCCTCCAGGGAAAGCAGAGGCATCCAGCTCCGCAGCACCGTGTTCACCACGGCCTGGGTGCAAATCCCCCATGTCAGGAAATCCTGGTGGATCCGGGTGGACAACATCAACCCAATACAAGCAGCGACCATCAGCATGAAGACAGAAGAGACACACTGGGCTCTCAAGCCACCCCAGAAACTATTCCTAGTGATCCTAATGCTTGTGGAGACTAATTTCCAACATAAAAATGCAACAACCCGTGGGGTAAGCACAGAGTAGAGCACATTTTGACAGCTGAAGATGAAGAGATCAACGAACCAAAGACGAGCAGATGCCTAGGTACAAACAAACACACTCTGGTGACACATATGGGGAAACCAGA